AATGACTTGTAATGCAACTTTGATCACCCATCTTCATAAATTCGAAACTTCCAACTCAAGTAAGATAAATGCGTGCTCTTGAACATTTTGGAAAGCTTGAAACCACATCTACAACTTTAATGTTAAACACTTTTCTTGAATCAACCTGGATCATAGTGAAAATTAGTCGTGAAGTCAGTCACTTTTTAGGTCAAAAACTGTTTGATATTTTTTCTAAGTGTTGGCAGAAGTTCACATGCCCATAACTCTTAATTTGAGCTTTTTTTGGAGATCAACCCAAAGTGACAAAGTTGCATAACTTTCCATTCCTTACAACTTTCATGTTGGAATTTTTCCCTGAATCAGCTTGGATCTTGCTGAAACTTGCTTGTAAAGTTAGGAGGGTTTTTTAAGTGTAAAAACACTTGAATTCTGTAAGCGTCCAAAATCTTCAACCTTTGACTTTTGTTGTCTTTTCTTGATTCTCTTGATTTTATTACTCTTGACCCTTGAAGTCCAAAGTTGACCAAAAATTCAAAGGTTGACTTTGGTGTGACAGTTGACTTTTCATCAGTTGATTCCAATTCCTTTACCATCAGTCAATTGTATCTTTGAGAATGCCTTGAGCCATGTAATTAGGTCAAGATGTTGCATATGAGTTATTTGAATCATTCCTCAAGCCATTAGGTCATGCACTGAGCCAAAATTCAATGATCCACTTTAATCAAAACCCTAATTTGATCAAGACTTGTATTGATGGAGATTTCTTGACTCAAAATCCTCTTTGACACAAAAAGCAAACAAAAACTATTTTTGTATTTTGTTAGAGATGCAATGATGCATATGAAGTGGGATCTTGGGTAAAAAATTAGGGTATAACAATAATAACACTATTGGGTACAACAAATCAAGCACAACACTGATTACAAAAAAAAACTCTCACAAAGACTTTTCAGTCTTTTGACACTACATCTATCTTCATGAAGAACAAATATGAAAAATAGAGAGATTAGAAGAATAAGAGAAGGTTTTATAATTAGAAATTCGATGTAAAATGAATTTAGGAAAACTTTTTTTATAGGAAAAAACTTCTCAAAATGAAATAATACATGGGCCAAATTAATGATTTAACTAATTAACCCTTATTGGTAATCGATTAAAACACCTTCAAAAATGACAACCCTGATCTAAAAAAGAAAACCTTAAAACGACTATAATTATTAATTAATTAAAAAATTTCTATTCGATTAAGAGTTCATTTAACTTACTCCAATCGATCAGACCAATTCCTTAATCGATTAAGCAGTGTAAAAACTTCTCTCATTGATTAGGATTACTTCTTGATCAATTATACATAAGTCTAGATAGGTTTTCAAGAGAATTTATATAAATAAAAAAAGATAGGAGTTTAAAATCTTTTCTGTGTGTGTGTGTGTGTGGTTGCCATATAACGTCAAAACTCACTCTTGACCTTTTATATTTTAGTTAATCCCTCTAAGACGCGAAGCGCAAGATTGGTCGAGATTTCACAATTCTAAAACTTTAGATTTTCAAATTCCCTTGCTTGATACATCAAGGATTCAACATTTCAACTAGAACTTGAATCTTCTAACTGATGAGGCATGAGATGTTTTATTGATAAGATGACATCATTAGAACCTTTAGACAATTGAATTTAACTCCTTATGTCACAAAAAAACTCTGAACATAACTCTCAACATCCACAAGCCATTTGACCCATGGAATCATTATCTTCAAAGGTGTTGCTTCATTAGTTGTCTTCATTAAAACTTAAGTGATGGTATACCTACAAGCATATATACCCACAATTTGGACCTCCTTTTGATCTTCTGCATGCGTTAGCCTCACGTTCTCAATCTCTATTGTGGGGTCTAAATCTAAAAGGTAAATTTAGCATATGCTTGGTTGTGGTGCAATGACATGTTCCATAGTCGCCTTTCTGACCCTTAGAGTGTATTCGTAACATCATTTTGTGGTTTCTTGATCCCCTTGCATCATGCTCATACAACCATTCAGTAATAAATACTTCATGCCCAAGTAGAGCGTTTACAGGGTATCCCCTAGGAGGTTGAAGGCATGTCTCCCAATGATTATGTTGTACAACAATAGGGCATCTACTATGAGATACCATGATTTGATCAATTTGGCCTTCTCCTCAAGTCTGAATATCATCTTGAGAGTGAAGTAGCCTTTTGTATGAACTTATTTGCTAGAAAAGTTCATCAAAGATCCTCTGAAAGGTTAGATCTCGTCAGAGTTCAACTTTAGCCTATTGAAGACTTGTATATCCTTCTCTCTTCTCTTAAGATCCTTTCCTTACTTGGACACATGGCTTCTAGGTTGATCTTTCCCTTGAGTCATAGAATCGGCTCTAGTCTTCTAAGAGCCTCGTCTAACATATTTGTCCAAGTGGTCCTCTTGGATAAGTCTCTTCCCCTCTCTCTCTCTACGGTAGCAGTCATCATTGTGATGACCTTTTATATAGTGGTGATTGAACCATGTGTCGAGCTTGGACCCCATTGTACCTAACTTAGGGGATGTCGAGGGCATAATATTATGAGTGTAAGGAACTTCATGCTAGATTTTCTCTCGACGGTTGTTAAGAAGCGTGAAGTTACCAGTGGCCCTCCTAGTCTTTAAATTTGCCTTAGAGACGCTTTTTCTATCAAACTTCACCAGTGATGGTTATTTGAAGTTCTCTAATGTTGGATCACCCCAAATATCGTCTGAGAGAGGTTAGGGGTCAATGATTTCATCTTCTACTTGGAAATCCCCATGGTTATGCTCCTTAAGGGTTAATATATTCGCCTCCAAAGCTTGGTTGGAGTGGCACAACTCGTTCGTAGTAGTCCATATCTCTGCTAAGGTTTCTTGGTCGCGGCCCGTCAGTGTTGTTAGTGGTGGTAGCGCCTCGCCATGTCATCATGTTAAAAATGATGATTGTGAAGATTTAGAGATGAATATAAGTGTGGCCTAGGTTAGTTTTACCCATGTGACATGGTAGATGTTAATTGTACTTCTGAATGTTGGGGAAATCTGGGGAGCGAGGTCCGGAAGTTTCAATGGGCCAATTCATGGTTACAATATATCTTGACACCACATATTCATCCAAAACCTTAAGGCAGCGGGGGTATGAGTCACCTCTCTTATAAACCCAACATTTCCTTTATTCCTAGTTGATGTGGGACTTTAGCACAACTTTCACACTTGAAACCCAACAATCTCTCCCACAAGTGTGAGTCACCCGCATCACTAACCTTGATTCACAATAGGATCCACTTTTGTCCCCCCCCCCCCCCCCCCCCCCCGAGTCAACCTGGCTCTGATATGACTTGTTGGAGAAATCTAGGGAGCGAGGTTGGAAAGTGTCAACGGGTCAAGCGTTCATGGTTACAAGAGACCTTGACACCACATATACATCCAAAACCTGAAGGTAATAGGGGTATGGGTCACCTCTCCTATAAACCCAACTTTTCCTCAATTCCTAGTCGACGTAGGACTTTAGCACAACTTTCACACTTGAAACCCAACAGTGAAAGATGCTCTATATATTGAATATCTTAGAATTAGTGAATATCCCTCACATCCTCAGAGCAAGGATACATATAAGTGGCTTATTGGGTCGGGTAACAAGGAAGGAACGATTTTCTCCTAATTTCCCCATATTTAGTGGGAGTAAGAGGATATTGGTTCTTCTACCACTATAGGGAGGACAATTTTCTCCTCTCATGTTCCGTTCTAACTGACCCTCTTTTGAGTGCCTTGTCTGCCACGTGTTAGTGGAGTGGATCGGGTGTCAAACACCGGTCTAGGTCAGACAATTCAAGGTTTGAGTATCAAACACTTGTCTTTCAAATTCTTTAAATGGTTTCTTTCTAGACCTAACAAAGTTATTATAATCCAATAATTATAACGAAACAATAATTACTATTATTTGAAATTTTAAAACTAATAAATAAATATATAAAAATCTCGCTAAAGCATATTTATATTCAAATCTTTATAAGTTATTATCGCTCCATCTATAAATAAAAATTGAAATGAATATATGATTCCTAAGTAAACTCAAATATATAATTAAACAATTAAAGGATGCAAGTTATGCCAACAATAGCGATTGATGGAAGTTTCTTTGAAGATAGTACATATTTGAATCAAATTGAAATGTCATGATAAAAAAGTTCATTATTTCTTGTACCTTGTTTTCTCTTTGTGCTAATTTCTAACAACAAAACATACTCGTACCTCAAGCAATTTTATCCATTTGTTTCTTTCTCTGTTTTGGGAATTCCTACTCTCCATGTTGTTTCCTAGTAGTTTCTCCTCTTAGAGTTAGGACATTTTTATGTGCCATTGTTGAGAGATTAATAATTAATGACCTTATTTAATCTAACGACATTAAGTATGAGTTAAATAATAATAATAGAGTATGAAATAATTGTAAGGTCATTGTTGTAATGGTGTAATTGAAGATGAAGGTGCATCATTTGTTTTACCTTGAAGAATTATTAACTATATAAGTATAGAACACAATTAATTTAATTAGAAACAAAATTTACATGCCATGTAATCTATATTTTTCCCCATGATTGATGCCTAAAAAAATCCATTATTATTGATTTTATCATGCATCCCTCCATCTGCATGTATGAAGATTCCAAATCTCAATCAAATGTGAGTTCAGTTTACTAATCAAATAATGAAATAGGTGGCAGAAAAAAGAAGCAAAAACAAAAGGAAAAGTACACTTAAACTTGTCTCACAAATTGACACAAAAGCAACACACACATATTAGTAATTGTGTGATCAACACAACACTTTTTCTTTTTCTTTTTCTTTTAACAAAAGCTAAAGTTGTGAAAAAAGAAGAAAGAAAAAAAGTGAACATTGGATACTACCTCTCATCCCCTTCTTTAGTATCTTCAAGTGTATATTCATATATTCACTATAACTTGTTCCATTTTCATAGCATGTTATTATTATTATCATCATCTCACAAAATGGCCACTCTTGTTTTCTTTCTACTACTTGTTTCCTTGTTTCCTTCTATTTCTTCACTTTCTTTGAAAAACCAAGCTTCAATCTTAGTTTCAATGAAACAAGAGTTTGAACTTTCAAACACTTCTTCATGTTTAAACACATGGAACATTTCTAACTATGTTTCACTTTGCACTTGGTATGGAATTCAATGTGACCAAACCAACAATGTTGTTTCACTTGACATATCAAACTTAAATGTTTCTGGTTCACTTTCACCTCTTATCACAAACCTTTCCACTCTTGTGAATCTTTCAATCCAAGGAAACAATTTCCATGGTGAGTTTCCAACTGAAATTCATAACCTACAAAGTTTGAAATTCCTCAACATATCAAACAATATGTTCACTGGAAACATGAGTTGGGAATTCAATAGATTGGAAGAGCTTGAAGTTCTTGATGTTTACAACAATGGCTTCCATGGTTCACTTCCTCATGGTGTAACTCAGTTGTTGAGGCTTAAGCATTTGAATTTTGGAGGGAATTACTTTTCAGGAAAAATTCCTAAAAGTTATGGTGAAATGAAACAGCTCAATTTTTTGTCTCTTGCTGGCAATGATTTGAGTGGTTTTATACCTACTGAGCTTGCAAATTTGACAAGTTTGGAGTATCTTTATTTAGGTTATTTCAATCAATTTGATGGTGGAATTCCAAAAGAGTTTGGTAAGATGGTTAATCTGGTTCATTTAGACCTAGCAAATTGTTTCTTGAAAGGTTCAATTCCACATGAGTTAGGTAAACTTTATAAGTTAGATACACTTTTCTTGCAAACGAATCAACTAACCGGTTTGATTCCGTCTGAGCTAGGTAACTTGACTAGATTGAATGCCCTTGATTTATCACTCAATAACCTAACCGGTGGAATTCCGGACGAATTCTCGAATCTTCGAGAACTTTTGCTATTGAACTTGTTTATCAACAAGTTCCACGGTGAAATTCCCGAGTTCGTCTCCGAGTTGCCTAAATTGGAAGTACTTAAGCTTTGGAGGAATAACTTCACTGGAGTTATTCCTCCGAAGCTAGGCCAGAACGGAAGGTTAACCGAGGTTGATTTGTCGACGAATAAACTCACTGGAGTATTGCCGAAATCACTTTGCCTTGGAAAGAGGTTAAAAATCTTGATCTTGCTTAACAACTTTTTGTTTGGTTCTTTGCCTAATGACCTTGGTGAATGCTACACTCTCCAAAGAGTTAGAATTGGTCAGAACTATCTGACTGGTTCAATTCCTCATGGCTTTCTTTATTTACCAAATCTTACTCTTTTGGAACTACAGAACAATTATCTCAGTGGAGTGATTCCACAAGAAAAGGGAAAAAACACAACCTCGAAGTTAGAACAGTGTAATCTATCAAACAATAGGTTATCAGGTTCATTACCAACCTCAATTGGAAACTTTCCGAATTTGCAAACTCTTCAGCTTAGTGGAAACAGATTCTCGGGTCAAATTCCATCAGATATAGGAAAACTCATAAGTATCCTCAAATTAGATATAAGTAGCAACAACTTTTCAGGTGCTATTCCTATTGAAATAGGTAAATGTACCTTGCTAACTTACATAGATTTGAGTCAAAACCAGTTTTCGGGTCCTATTCCAATTCAACTTGCTCAAATTCATATACTAAACCATCTTAATGTGTCATGGAATCACTTGAGCCAAACACTTCCTAAGGAACTTGGAGCCTTAAAGGGCTTAACTTCAGCTGATTTCTCGAATAATAACTTCTCCGGTTCGATACCTGAAGGAGGACAGTTCTCAACTTTTAAGTCAAAATACTTTGAAGGTAATCCTCAACTATGTGGATATGAGTTCAATCCATGCAAACTAGATGAATCGGAATCGCAACAAAGAAGCAGTTCAAGAAACGGATTTCATGGAAAGTTTAAGCTCCTTTTCGCGTTGGCGTTATTGTTGTGTTCATTGGTTTTTGCAAGTTTGGCTATCGTCAAGAGTAGAAAATCGAGCAGGGATTCGAATTCATGGAAGCTGACAGCATTTCAGAAAATGGAATACGGAAGTGAAGAAATCGTCGGTTGTATAAAGGAAAGCAATGTGATAGGAAGAGGTGGAGCTGGCGTTGTTTACAAAGGAACAATGCCGAATGGAGATGATGTAGCTGTGAAGAAACTACTAGGAATAAACAATGGTTCATCTTCTCATCAGGATAACGGTTTCTCGGCTGAAATTAAGACGTTAGGTAGAATCAGACACCGGTATATTGTTAGGTTGGTTGCTTTTTGTTCGAACAAACAAACAAACTTGCTTGTATATGAGTATATGGAAAATGGAAGTCTTGGTGAAGTTTTGCATGGGAAGAGAGGTGAGTTTTTGAAATGGGATGTTAGGTTGAAAATTGCTGTTGAAGCTGCTAAAGGACTTTGTTATTTGCATCATGATTGTTCACCTTTGATCATTCATAGAGATGTTAAGTCCAATAATATTTTGTTGAACTCCGAATTTGAGGCTCATGTTGCTGATTTTGGACTTGCTAAGTTCTTGCAAGATAATGGGAATTCCGAATGCATGTCTTCTATTGCTGGTTCCTATGGATATATTGCACCAGGTACACATACTTTAAATTAAAATTCTCAATTATATAAATTATTTTCATTAGTTTGAAAGGTGCTTCGTAAAATCGGATGCAGATTCCCTAGTCACTGGTGCACACGCATTCACGCATTCGGTGCATCAGTGTCTCCCTAGTCACTGATGCATGCATTCACGCATTTGGTGCATTTGTGTCTGGAAAGGTTTTAGAACTAGGCCATTACATTGTGGCACTTGATATGTCCGCAATTGTAATCATGGCCGCAATTTCGAACCACTCTAACTTGAAGTTCATGAGACATTATTAGCTAGATCCCCTTATATGACATAACTGATTTGACAAATGAGAAGAGTAGAAAAACAAACGTGCTAGAAAAAGCAAGAGGAATTCAGGGTCTTTTTCTTTCCAAATTGAACAGTCCAAATCAAATATTCATAACAAAAAAAAAAGTACTAGCATGTGATAAATACACCAATACAAGTAGAATACTTTACATATATTTTTGAGTTAAAAAATATACTTTTCTTACATTCTCCACTCTTTTTGTGGGGCCACATTGTCACACACCATGTACATAGATTCCTAAACTGAGCAGACAAAGGCTCCACTAACTCAATGCAAAGGAAAATTCCATTTGCTTTTTCATCATGCCAACTGATTTTGTGCTTTTGCTTCCATGCCTTGAAAGTTGAAACTATAAGATCAAATCACACCCATTCCTTTTTGTTTGTTTGAAATATCTAGTAGCTTAAGTTGTTAAAAAAGATAGATTTTATTTCTTGTGCTGATTTTGAATGATTTATGTTTTTGCAGAATATGCATACACTCTGAAGGTTGATGAGAAAAGTGATGTGTATAGTTTCGGAGTGGTGCTTTTAGAGCTCATAACGGGGAAAAGGCCGGTTGGAGAATTTGAAGAAGAAGGGTTAGACATTGTTCAATGGACCAAAATAAAAACCAATTGGAACAAGGATATGGTGATGAAGATCCTTGATGAGAGGCTAGCTCAGATTCCTTTAGATGAAGCAAAACAAGTGTTTTTTGTGGCAATTTTATGTGTCCATGAACATAGTGTGGAGAGACCAACCATGAGGGAAGTGGTTCAAATGCTTGCACAAGCAAAGTAACAATACATATAACATATTTCAAATGTGGTGATGTTTTTGTTTGTTTGTTGTAAACCGGATATTATCTGTGATTAATTATAGAGACTAATTTTCTTAATCAAATAGTGTTAATTCAGATTTAATGATCTGGAAAAGGGGGAAAAGAAGGACAAGTTAAAAGGAGGGTTGAAGTTTAATATATATATACTATGTATAGCTTTGTGTTTTAAGTTTTTCGATGGTTAATTAAAAGGTTTTAATATTTTCAAATTAGTTTGTCATGAATTTTTAAGTTTTTTTTTGTGTATGGCACTTTCATTTTATTAGCACCCAATTTTGTGTGGCAATTTCTTTTAACATGAGTGTCCTTTTCAGAAGTTTTACTGCGCATGCAGCAGGTTTAAAATTTTCAAATTCATTTCCATTCTAATTGATAAGAATTAACAAGACTTGTTCTTCTCCTTAGTAGGAAGTCTAGCTCTCCACTTTAATAAGTAGCAATTTATTCTTTGGAAAAGTGGCAAACACAGGCCCTTTCAAGGATATGAGGCCTCACACGTAACAATTTTGTTATATACTAATTGATACAAAACTGTGTCGAGTGTCCTACCTCATGGGCGCGATGGGTCGATTGGGCCCCTTGACCCGTGAGGCTACATAATTTTTGTATTTATTGTGAATAATTTTTATTCATAAAAATGGAAAATTAATTATTATGAGTTGTAACTAATCATTATGATTTGTAATTACTTATAATTACCGACACTATTATATATAATATCAGATGCAATGAGAAATGCATGAAGTCAATTTTACTGACATGGTATAAAAGGGTTTCCATCAAATCGGTGAATCTTTTTTGGCTGAAAAGCGACACCCCACTTGTTCGCTCTTGTAATTGTGTTCCTAGTTCGCATTTGTCTCGAAATTGTTTCTTTATCAATCGAAGGATTTCGGTTGGCGTCTAGTGATTTCGTCATTGTTGTTGCGGTGTTTATCGCAATTGATTCTTGGTTATTTGCTTACGGTTCAATTTGTTTCGGTAATCGTTAATTGTTCGGTGCTCACTAGCAGATTGTGACTTACGATTCTATTTCGATATTCTCGGCGAATCGGTTTTTCTACACTCATCGACTCGGTTTTGGCATCTTCGACGACTGTTTTTGTGATTGTTGCTCTCGATGATTGGTCTGTTTTCGATTGCTCGTGGTTTCTGATTTTACAAAATGTTTGTGATTGTTTCATTGTTCGTGGTTGTCTCACTGTTCGTGATTGTTTCACGGTTCGTGATGTTTCACTGTTTGTTCAGGTTGTTTCACTTGTTGGAGTTTGTGGTACTTAAGTTAATATTTATTTCATTGTTATTGTTAAATAATAATAATTAATAAATATTTGTTGTCCATTGATTTTTTTTGCTATTCTTTAGAGTAAAATAATTATTGTAACATGGCCATGGAAAATAAAAAGAATTCTTGTGTCTGTTTTACCTGTAAGAATTATTTTGCATGGGAAATTCAGTTCAAGATGTATGTGTTAGCTCTTAAATTCGACACCTACAACAAGTTGGTCTTATGGGCCAAAAATAGATTGAACAAGTCTAAATTGGAAAAGCTTCGACAAAGTAGAAAAGTACTTAGAGAAACTCTAAGTTAAAGTGAGTCTTCGACCAGAAGGTTCTCAATCCCTTCGACTGAAGGGACTCTAAGGTCTTCGACCAAAAGGAAGCTTCGTATCTGCCCCGGAAGATTTTTGAATATGGAGAAAGGCGGGAAAAGCAGTTCGCTTGGCAGTAGAGGAAAACAACGTGGCATGCAAAGAGGGGTCGAAGCGCATGCAGAAGACACTTGTCTTCATCCTGGAGCAAGACAACTCCTCGACGGTTACCTAGTTTTAGTATAAATATAGGAAGTTTATGTAGATTTCCGTGTTTTCAACTGATCGTACAAACTATTTAATATTATTCAAGTACCCGCTGAGTGAGAAAGAATACTGAAAAATGTACATTTGAAACACCATATTTTACAATCAAAGTCTTTTATTTCTCTCTTTACATTTCTTACCTCTTTATCTTGTTTGCACTTTATCTGCACTTTTACCCAAATTCCTGCACCTAACCTCTCCTCAACCCCTTCTTTCTATTTACTTTCTGCACTCAAACTCATCCCTTTCCCAGTCGAACTTGAGTTCTTCGCCCACATTAACGTTTATGTCCAAACAACACCAAAAATTAGCATATGTCCTAGGATCAAACTGATTGATCCTGCGAGTAACCCAAAAGTTATCTTTTTTGGAAGATCAGCGGTTGTTCACCAGAAAACACGGTGAACAAATTGGCACACCTGGTGGGACGTTGCTAATTATTGTTGCTTTATTTATTTTGTCTTGATATAAATGATTCGCATGATTTTCTTTCTTTTACAAAGTTTTGCATGCTATTAAGAAGTGGTAAAGTAACCACCAACGAGTGTACAACTAGAAAGAGAAATAGTGAAAGCAATATGGCTAATCATCCAACTAATGGAGAAATACCTCCACCAATTACTACGGGAACAACAGTAATACCAACCGTTAATGAAATTGTCTCGTCAACTGTTGGTTCGATACCAACATTAACAGCAACCCAAACGGGACCAATACTTTCGTATGCAGGTCCCAGAGGTCCAACAGGAACACCCCCACCAAAGGTGAACCCAAGATTTCGACCACACGCTCCTCCAGGATTTTCGACAGCCTGGATGGGTCGAGATCATTCTTATGGCATGCTAACTACTGAAATGGATAGCCTTATGAATGTTGCGTCTACATTTTCAGAACCTTTGATAAGTCCATCTTCGCCATTATAGGGGTCTGGAACTGGCATGGATAGGAACCAACTTTTAGGAGGGACATCCCTTGCAATGCCAAGCCTCACAAACGCTTCCACAGCGATTTTGAAGCAACAGATGGATGAAAGCAACCATGACATGATACAAATGTTGGCCCAAACTCTAAGTACAGTATTGAACCCTCTAATACAAAATACTACTCAGTCAAACCAACAAATGATAGCGTCAATGGCACGCATGACTGGATTTTTTGGGGTTCCCCAACCTATTTGACAACCCCAGAGAGCTCCGATGAGAGAGGATCAAGGTTTAGTCTTAGAAGAAGATGTAACTACTAACCAAAATCCACAATTCGATAGGAGGAACCACTGAGTAGAAATCGAACAACCTATGGTCGAAATACCCAGACTTCCCCCGCAGATCCTTAGAGATGGTGATCAAGGTGTGATGATGGTAAATAGGAACCAAAATGTTGACGAACTGATACAGCAAGTTCGACACCATAATTATGGCACAGAGAATAATCTGACAGCCATGATCGAATGAATCATGATACAAAATGGAGTGAACGTTGGCTTTCATAGGCCAAATTTTACTTCCCCACTGTCAGAATATATTTTGCAAACGGATTTACCCCCTAGGTGGAAAGTTCCAAAGTTCACTAAGTTTTCGGGGGATACGATAGAATCAACTGTCGAACATATAGTGAGATATTTGATAGAAGTTGGGGAAATATCAAATAATAAGAGCCTTAGGATTAAATACTTCCCAAGTTCTCTAACAAAAAACGCTTTTACTTGGTTTACCACCCTCCCAGCCAATTCGATCCACAATTGGAATCAATTAGAGATATTGTTCCATAAACAATTTTACATGGGACAAACCAAAATAAGTCTAAAAGAACTGGCAAGCGTGAAAAGAAGATTCACCGAGCCAATATATGAATATCTAAATAGGTTTCGACTGCTCAAAGCCAGATGCTTTACACAAGTGCCTGAGCATGAATTGGTCGAAATGGCAGCAGGGGGCCTAGACTATTCTATTAGGAAGAAACTAGATACCCAATATATAAGGGACATGGCCCAATTGGCCGATAGAGTTTGATAAGTAGAACATCTTAAAATTGAAAAATCTAAAGCAACTAAGACTCGTCGGCGAGAAAAGGTAGCCTATATCGAAATGGATGATGATGATGATCCAGAAACATCTAGTAATCCTATAGTTGTCGAAGAGAGTGAAATAGATTTAGCAGAGTTAAAACATGGTCCTACATACTCTTGTTGAGTGTTACTACCCTTAGATGGGAAGAATCCTACTAAGTCTGAAAAGAACAGTGATAGATTCTCAAAGAAAACATATAGTTTTGACGTCACAAAATGTGATGAGATATTCGACTTATTAGTGAAAGATAGCCAAATGATAGTGTCCCCATGGGAGAAAATGCCTCCTTTAGAACAAAGAAAGAAAAGAGGATTTTGTAAATATCATAATTTTTTGAGCCATAAAACTTCACAATATTTTATTTTCAGGGATCTCGTTCAAGGAGCGATCAAAGAAGGCAGACTCAAATTTGCTGACAAACCCCAAATGAAAATTGATGCAGACCCACTGAGAGCTAATGCACACTTTGCTGAACCAGCAGGCATCAACATGGTCGAAACTTCGGAAGACTTCGCCAATATGTCGGTCTTTGGCAGTTTTACTGGGAACATCTCCAGAAAGACTGCAGAAGCGGTTAGAAAGGCCACTGAAGGCCTAAACCAAAAGGCTATTGAAGGCCTAAACAAAGGAGTTACTGAAGACTCCAACAAAAGGACTACTATAAGTTCTTATGTGGCTGTCGTCAAGGGTTCAACATAAGACCTTGAAGCCAAAATGCAAAAAATGAATCTCGCTGCCAAGAGCAACGTGCAAGTCAACATGATCGAAGTATATGAGGCCAAGGCTTCAGAGGAAGCCATGAGACAAGAGGAAGTGAATAAAATTGCATTTCCAAAAGAAAATGAGAATTTGGCTGACTTTCTACACAGATACCAGAAGAAAAAGTCGGAAGTTATATTGTGTCTAAGATACAGCTCCATCTTCGACAAAAAGGTTGCCGAACACATACAGGGCATAAGGGTAATGAAAGAAAAAAGGGCCACCAATGCCCAACCTTACATGGTTTCTGAAGTTAGATACGATCCCAGAAAAGGA